ATTTTTACAGCATTTGGATTTGTGCAGTATTCGCTTTTATGATGGGATTTTTAACGAAATTTGCCTTGTCCAAATTGGGAATGCTTTTGGGGCGAAGCAGTCAGTGTCCACAAGGTTAATCTACCCATCAGCTGCGCGTAATCCGCACTCTTACACTAAGAGAAAAACATAATGACAATTTTGTCCACTTCACGTTTCTTAAACTTATTTAAAGATGAATTCGTATATATGTTAAAAAGAATGCTGCTAAAGGGGTTTGAAACTGTGTTTTCGTCGCTTATCTATAGTAATTTGAAATTAAGAACTTATTTTTAGGTGGTCATTTTAACTAAATATAGCTTTATATATCCTAAACAATTTTCTCACAGTTTTTGCCTAATAGGCTAAGCCCAAAGCACTTGCCAGCTCATTTTGGCCAAGTTAGCTAGTCGGAGCAGGCTGATCACATCACGCTCATTGGTTCGATGGCATTCAGAGTGCCAATTTCTGAAGTTGACACCTAATGCGAAACACCTTGGGCGAGCGAATGGCTAAGTTAAGTTGAACAGTTGGGCGGTGTGGCGCTTAATTGAAAAGCAATGTTCTTACATAGTTTATGCTTAAAATGCGATTACATTAATTTCACACACCACAAAACAGATGACAAAGTCAGACAAAAGGGTTGTCCTAGTAGGAACCGGAACTTGTTGAGAAAACTCAATTGACATATGGACGCAGATAGAGAGAGAGAGAGAGAGAGAGAGGGGGGAAGAGAGACTGAGGTGGAAACCACTCGAAAAAGCCACTCAGTCAGGTGTTAAAACTAATTTACGACAATTGGACCAAGAAACAACAATGCAAGGGTTGCCCAGCCAGCCTGTGTGGGTGAGGCGTGTGTGGGCGTGGCACATCAAGTGCTTCGCATATTTCACACATTCGCATGAAAAGGGTGCCAAATTGGGGACCAGAAACTGTCATCTGGCAGCTTGTCCAACCGCAAAGCATCCCAATCGAATGTTGTCCCCGACAGACAAACAGCAGTCTCTCTCAGCTTTCAGCTCTCAGCTCTGAGCTCTGAGCTCCGAGCACTTAGCTACAGATGCGTCCTGTTGCCAACAGAAGTTAACCAACCGCAGATGATCCTATTTGAAATGCTGACATTTGTATGTAGAATTTTAGTCATTGACTAAAAATACATTTCAGTTTTCAGCCAAGAATTTATCGTGGCCAACAAAATAAAAATAAAAATGCGAAAGATGAGAAACGCAAAATAAATGCAATTCATTTTGGCCCAAAAAATATGCAGGCTCATTGCGAAATAATTTGTGTGTAATTAAAGCAGTTACGCCCCATATTTTGGGCGCTGTTACAGTTGCGTTAATGATTGTTGGCTGAAATTTCAAAGGCGTTACAATTAGTACGCATTAATGTTGATAAATGAAGAAACTTTCGATTTTACCTTGCGGCTCTAAATGTCAATTGCCAGCGTTGCAAAACGGCTGCCTAAAGCAGTTCAGCATTGTAAGGTGGAAGTACTTAGATAATATACTAATTAAGTGCGCCGACATTGCTTTCTCTTATATTGAACTCAAATAAAATGTTAACTAGTAAATTCATAGGGTACGTTTGTCCATTTGACCGCCCCAAACGTTGCACAGATGTCGATCACACACATCGTCCTTGACAAAGGACTTGCCCAAGGTGCTCCGCAGTTCGGCATCATAGGTGGCCTTCTCCTCGATGAGCAGACTGTTCATCTGCTCGCGCCTCGCCGCCTGGGCCATCATCTGTAGGCATTGCAGCTCCATTGTCATGGGACGTAACAACTCCACTCGTGGTGCATTATATGGAGGCGATTCGGTGCCATGGCACTTCATCCAGTTCACAAAGCTAAGTTAATCCATAATATATAAGTGTAGGCCACTCAATTCCTGCATAAATATCTACTTACAAATTGCTCATATTATTTAAAGTTTCACAATAACAAGAACAGCAAATGGCGTGTAAACTGATGTGTATGAAGTTTCGTCTTTGACGGGGGATTTCAACAAAATGTTGAACATCAAAGAGGAGCAAAGTTCTCATACGCCTACTAAATCCTAAAAACCTTTCTGCCAAATCAAAAAAAACCGCTCTCAGCTTCTAACATGTGTACACTACTACTAATAGTACTCTAACCGCTGAACTCCGTCGTTAAAGCGCTTCCTTATTCATTCATCCTGGTCGAGCGACTAATGAATTGCAAGACCAGCCTCAAAAAAGCACCTGCAATGCTAAAGGCGAAGTCATTATATTATACATTTGGCCTAATGAGATTTTTTATGGTAATGATGGTCAGAAAAAAAGGAGAGCTCAGAGGGGGCTGATACACGCAAGCAAGCCCTGTCTTAATTATTCACAATGAACCGAATATACGGCATTAAATCTATATATAGGGCGAGAGAAGCAGACATTTTGACACCTTTATTGCTCAATAAATTGGATGCCATTAAGGAGAGTGTGTACAAAAAAAAAAAAAGAAAAGAAAAGAAAAGCGAGAAAAAGAAACAAACACACGCACACACACAAAGAAACTAGTTCATTAGAAACACGCTGGTTATTTTGATTTCGCTCCTGATTACACTTGAGATTTCGAATGGCTGCAATATGTGGAAAATGGCAGGAGTAATGCGTGGCAAGCGTGGCACGTAAAGTTTTCAATTTCCAGACTCACTTCTGTGACTACTCGCATTGAAGTCATTAGAGATTTGAAAACGTACTAAAACGCCAGCTAGAGTGAGATCAAGCGACGGAGCGAGCGAGCTAGAGAGAGAGAGATAGAGAGAGAGAGGAATAGGAAGAGGCCATTTGTTTGGTTAGCATGTCATTAGAGCGATATGATCCTGCGTCTCTTCATTCTCCAACTCTCTCTCTCTCTCTCTCTCTATGCTACTCATGAATAATGTTTTAATTTCAGGCTATAACTGTCGTGTTCTCGTCCTTTTTGTCCGCGTCGACGTCATCGCTCCTCGCCTAGGGTTTGTTTGCCCCTTTAGCACGCAATTGCATGTTAAATGCATATGATTCCTCCCGAACTGGCTTCGACTAATATGCGAAAATTGTGGGTTGCAATTTAAGAGGCACTTTAGCTCATTTTTTTAACGATATAACATGTTCGTACATTACACTTTATATTAGAGTATAGTTTCGAGCCACTCTCATACTTATAAATGTATATATATATATTAACAAACACACACACACACATATATATATATATATATATGATTAAGTTCGAGTTGTTATTGCTTAGAAGCATTCACATTAATTAATGGCCTCTGCACTTGACTCAAGCTAAATACAACCCGGCCGATTGCGTCAACTTACCACATAAAATCTAAATTAAATATATGCTTAGATTGAGTCTGTTCATTCGAGCATCAATTTTGCTATAATTTCATTGTCCACCTTCATTTTGAAGTACACATTTTGAGTTTGGAGTGCATTAATATGAGTTTTGTATTCTGAGTTTGAGATTTTCCATTCAATAGTTCAGCAGCTCGTCTAACAAAACTTTACAATTTTCTTTTCAGAATGCATTTTTCTTTTATATGTGCATATTTCCTTTTTTTTTAGTTTAAAATATGATAATGAATATAGCGTTCTTTTTAAAGGAATTCTTATTGTTTCTTATAAACCATATAATAACTTTCACTCTGAGCGCATGTAAATTTTGCGCGTGAAAGTATGCAACAGTTTCGGGTGCAGTTTTCATTAAATTTCAAACAGCAACCATTTTGCTTCTCTGCGGTTGCATCCGTTTCCGCAGCTGAGATAAAATTGTGTTGGCAGTGCAATGTTTCCACGAATGTGGCTGTGGTTTCGTATGTGTGTGTGTGTGTGTGTGGGTGTGTTTTTTGTTTGTTTTCTAATTTCGTTTTGGATTTCATTTGATTTGGCTGCTGGTTATTTTTAGTATTTTGATTTTTCGCCTAAATTCACAGCAGCGAATTGTGTCAGCTTGTACGGGCCCAACGGGGGTTATTGCAATTTTTATGACATTTGACGCCAAATGACAAAAACGGCAAGCTGCAGCCAAATGCATACACATGGCCAAACTAATCGAAATAAGAGACCGCCGTTAAAATCGGACAGCAGGCAATTTGGCCACACGTATGCTTGAAATTATGAATGCATTTTTTTTTTTGGTGTGGTCTACGATTAAAAGGGACACTTGAGATGGTGCAGGTGGGAAGAGGGACTGGCTGTAGTTGCCACCTGGAAACAACTGCATCGCAGCAGCAGCCGCAGCCTTGGGCTTTTGTCTACCTCAATGTTTGCCAAAGATGCAGCGACACTCAGTATTGTGCCCGGGGGCTCTGTTTAATATGCACTTGTCTTGCTGTCGCCGATGTCGAAGTTTCGCACCGTCTTTCAGCTACCTAACAGATGTGGGGAGCGTGAAGGAAGGGGTACGGTGTATATGTGTGTGTGTATCTGTGTAGTGCAGTTCGACTCTTGGTGCTGCTGCTTTTCACTAAAAATAAGTGTTGTGCAAACATTTTATGGTTATAGAAATTTTGCTGCAACATCATCTTTGTTACCGCCACTGCCCCCCTCCACTATCTGCATCCACTTCGAATGAAACAGGGCCATGTTTGTCCAACGATGAACTAGGTCCTCTATGACACTTTTACTATATGTGTGTGTGTATAAAGATGTTTAACACTTGCAGTCATTCAGCCAGCGGGGAGGTTAGACATATTGACAGTAGCTTCAGCTCGAAGGGACATTTGAGGGAGGCACATATTTGATATGATGCTGAAGTATTACTAATTGGTAGAGGGTAAGAGACAATCACTGAGGGAGACAGAAAATAGAGTTGACTAAATAAATGTTATATCAAGATTTAAATGCCTCAGAAATGGTCGCCGGTTAAATGGCCTCTAAGATGATACCTATTTCAACACATTCAACTACGCAGAATATACAGTATGTTCAAATTTAACTTGTCAGATCAATTCATATATGATTTCGTCTCGATTTAGATTTAGAACACTTGTAGGAATAGTTCGATTAGCATTTTTTGTCTACTCCATATCATTTCGAAATATATTTTAGTCTAAAAATAGAGAATAAAGTTATAAATTTTCCCACATAATACGGTTGCTGAATAATTCGCAAAACGATTCGAGGATAAATATCAAAATTTTTGTTAAACTGTTGACAAGAGCACAAGGACAATGAATATCCTCTCCATAAATCAGCATGTTTATATACGTCGCTCCGACGGACGCATTCATGAGGGTGTCATCGTTAAGCTCGATAGCAGCCGGAACAATATTGTGACCGTGGAGTGGCAGGAGGGTCAGGCTATACGTGGCAAGGAGTTGCCGCTGATCTCAATCGTCAAGCAAAATCCACAGATCTTTAAAGCAACGGCGAATGGAGCAAATATTGGTGTGGTGCCACCATCCGTTGTGGTCACTGCCACGCCGCGAAATAATGTTGTGTTAATGAAGATTGAGCGAATGCGACTGGAACGTGAACGTCGCAGCAAGCGTAATAATGAGACGCGCATGCTGCGTCAGCTATACGTCGATGAGGATCTGGATAATACCAATTGGGAATTTGCACGCATGCTGCGATTGTATCGACTTCAAACGGAATTCCCGCCTGTAGGCAATGCGCCGCGCTCCACACTGAAGAAAAATCAGATTGTGGTCTGTGTCCGGAAACGTCCAATCAATAGCAAAGAGATTAACCAACATGAGCTGGACGTGGTCAGTGTGCCCAATAGGGAGCTCCTGTTGGTGCACGCGCCACGCAAGCATTTGGATCTAACCAAATTCCTGGAGCATCACAGCTTTAGATTCGATCACACTTTCGACGAGCAAAGCAGCAATGCTCAGGTCTACGAGAGAACGGTCCGTCCGCTGGTGCATCACATCTTCGATGGCGGGATGGCTACCTGTTTTGCCTATGGCCAGACTGGCAGCGGGAAGACGCACACGATGGAAGGTGAGTTTACGGACAAGAAGCAGAATAGTCGCGATGGCATCTATGCCCTTGCCGCTGCCGAAGTCTTCGAGCATCTTCAGCAGCCCAGTTATTCGCATTTTGAGCTACGCGTTAGCTGCAGCTTCTTTGAGCTATATGGCCCTCGGGTTTATGATCTACTCGGGCTTGGGAAGCCACAGTTGCGTGTCCTAGAGGATGGCAAGCAGCGGGTTCAAGTCGTTAACTTGATCGAGGAGAAGGTGGCGAACACTGACGAAGTGCTCCATCTGCTCGAGTTGGGCAACAGTGTTCGCACCTCCGGTCAAACTTCAGCCAATGCCAAGTCGTCACGCTCCCATGCTGTGTTCCAGATTGTGTTGCGTTCCGGTGACAAAGTGCATGGCAAAATCTCGCTTATTGATTTGGCCGGTAATGAGCGTGGAGTGGATAATTGTTGCATCAGTCGAGAGTCGCGTTTCGAGGGCTCGGAAATAAATAAGTCCTTGCTGGCGCTGAAGGAGTGCATTCGTGCCTTGGGTCGCCAGTCGGCACATTTACCGTTTCGCAGCTCCAAACTGACGCAAGTGCTTCGTGATTCGTTCATTGGCGGCAAGAAGGTGCGAACTTGTATGATAGCCATGATTTCGCCGGGATCTCACTCCGTGGAGAACACACTCAACACTTTGCGCTATGCGGATCGTGTCAAGGAGCTGACGACGCAACCATTCGCCAACAGCTCCACCCAAAGCGCCGATCCCGTTTTAGAGCAGAACCGCTCCCTGTCTGATATCAACAGCACCAGCAATTAGGCTGGATAGTTGAAGATCGACTCCTTCTCAGCTTTACAACCTGGTGAGGCAAGCAATTACAGTGCTCCCTAAACATCTAAAACCGCTACACAAATAAACTAAATTTGTCATTTATCAATCAAAATTAAATTCGACTTTTATGTGTTCCAAAAATTATTGATAAATTGAGTGCTTTTTCTGCAGTGAACTCATTAAAAATGTACAGTGGGCTTATTTAAGTTCAGTAGAAGTATGTAATCGCAGCAGGAGATATAAGATATACATATTACCAGCAAGCCGGAGCTGGATTCAGGGTATGTTATAGTTTTTGCTCAGTTTGCTGAATTCCTTAAACATATTGAGATGTTTTTCTACGCTTTTCCTCAATTCCGTGCTCTTACTTAAAGCATTTTTCGCATAGTTGAGCATTAAGCCAAAAACTTACTTTTCCGTTCAATATGCGCTCAGCTCATTCTTTGTTTTTTTTTTTTTCGTGGCTGAGACACGGTGAGGGGAGGTGATGTGGGAGGAGGTGCTACAGTGACAGCTGTCAATATACAATATTGAGGATTATGATGGCAAAGACACGTCTTACGAGCAAGCTTTGTGTCAATATATTAAATTATGGCTTAAAGGCTTTCCTTGCCCGACTTAGTGACGTTCAACTTTTTGGCTTTTTGTCGAAACGCGCAAATCCGCAAATAAATGTTCGCTGCCAACTGGAGGGGCTGCCGGAGAGAGGGGGGTGTGGCAGGCAGGTCAGGACTAGGTGTCCTTGCTGATGGATAAACATTTGACATTAATTAGCGCTGCGAATTTGCATTTATCTAAATTATCAGACATTCACACAAAAATGTATCATTTGAAACAGCGTGAAGCGAGTAGATAATGAAAACAAACACTTGCATAATTCAATGGGTAAACATTTTAATGTTGTTTCCCCTTCTAGTTTTCTAGTTAAATAAATATTTATTGCTGTGAATACACTAATCTGCAAATATGTGCATAGAAAAAAACGAAACAAAATATTTGTGCATAAAAGTTGTGCAGCAGCAGTTATGCAGCAGCAACTTTTGCCATTAACATCAAAAAGCAATTAAAATAACTTTAATCAACTAGAAGGCAGAAATAAAATGCAAACTCTCTGGTAGTACCCCCTCCCCCTCTTCCGTGTTTCTATCTTTATCCGACTTTTTTTCTTCGTAGCATCCGCTTCACATTGCTCATACGCACTGTGCGACCGTAAATCAAGTTTATTATAAACGCAAAGAGCTTGCACTTAACAAAGCTGATGAAGGCAAATCTTTTTTAATTAAAAAGCAACTGTTTAAAAGCCAGGATTCTATGGTGACGCCCACAAACACGCCTGCAACATTCTCGTTTTTCTGTCCACATTTCACTCGAAGCCAATTTTTGCTTTATTTGCACTCAAGTCATAATTTTTAACTTGCCTAGCAATTTATTTGCATTTCTGCTACATCTAGCGTTGCGTTTTAGTACACGTTTAGTGGCAACTTTATGTGGCAACTGATGTTTTTATTGCATTAAAATAAAGCTTATAATGTGTGTGTGTGGTAGTAGCTGGACAATTAAAAGTTTTTTGCTTAAAGAATAAATCCCATTTGGTGTCAACAACAATATGTTTAACTTTTAAATATTATCCTCTTTGGCACTGCGTAGAGTCCTCTGAGCTAGATTAATATTAAAACTTTTTGTTTATAAAGAACTAACAGGCAATTGCTGAAGACAAGCAAATGTCATTGAATAAATCAATAATAATAAAAAAAAGAAAAAATATTCTCCGCCCCAAAGTGCAAAAATAATAAAATTCAATTCAGGGAAATCAGCTTGGTGTATTTTATTAGATTTTCAGTTTACTTTTTTCCGTTTTTTTTTGTTTTTTTTTGCTCTGCTCACATTTTGTGCCGACGGCTGTGTGCCACGCCCACTTTGTTCAAGTGTGACAAGTGTCGGAAAGAGCAAAATGCGAAATGAGTCGTACAATTTGTCATAACTGCGAGGGACGTTTTGAACAGAAGAGCTCACAAGCAGTCAGGAGCGAACATCATTCGATTTACGAGCCGGAGGAATATAGAAGACGATTGGATAGGTGGATGGGTAAAGGGGGGGACTAGGTCGAGGTCGAAGCTGCCACAAGGCAATCAGCTGCACAATTGGCATAAAAACATTTGTCTCTCACATTACTCACACTCTGTCTCTCTCTCTCTCGCTCTCTCTCTCTCTATGTCTGTCTGGCTGTCTCTCTCGCATTAATGAGCTGTCAACAGTCGAGTGTTGGAAAAATGCTCTGGGCCAAACAATTTGTCGCAAGAGGTTTCATTAGCCATTGAGTGAGCTGTCCTGCGTGGCGTTAGTCAACACTGTACTTAATGAAGCACGAGTATTGGCAAAGTCTCGCATTTTACAACTCATTAATTTTGTGGCATTAATTTGGGCAAACAGCTGTCACATTGATGGCATTATTTATCTAGGTCACTCTTAGTTAGTGTTTTCGCAAACCAGAATCAGATCTTTTGTGCTGACTCCAAAAGTTTGTCCAATTAAATCAGGTCGGACCGGCCTGCAGCAAACTTTTGATAAGCCAAATTCGTATTGTTGAACAAGTCGCTCAACACTCACTCAGATTCCGAAAGGGTGAATAATCTAAAACAATAAGCACAAAAGGGATTGAGTTGTGTGTCTGAGACGAGCACTTTGAGGCTGATACGAATAAAAAACTTGACACATTTTTATGTGTTCGCATTATTTTTGCTGCTGTTTGCACTTTATTACATTTTGACAAAACACCAAAAACACAAAACACAATAACAAAAAAAAAAAAAACGGGGAAACTTTGTTAGCTGAATTTTTCTCAACCAGTTTCAGTTACAGTTTCCGCAACGGCTTCCACTTATCAGACATATGGGTCTGTGTGTGTGTGTGTATGAGTGTATGTGTGTGTGAATGTGTGTGTATGAGTGTGTGTGTGTGCATGTTTCTGTCTACTATTTCCCCCCTTTGAAAGAAAACACATAGCGAGTCTCGAGCAGGAGCAGTTTATTGTTGTTTGGCTAAATTATGTTGTTGCTTGCTTTACTGCAGAAATGGGGCTGGTAAATGTTAAGAAACAGGAATAAAAACAACACAAAGTGGAAAAACAGCAACTGCAAGCATCGTAAAGCATCCAAAACTTTGCAGTCACCGGGTGCTATCAAGTAAATTTGTAACAGTAAAAAGAGTCAATAAAGTTTCACAGCTCATTGTTCAGGGTTCATGGTACACTTGGGCTAGCCATCCAGTACTCTATTTATTGTTGTTCTTGGCATCAGTTTGAAGAAGCTGAAAGCGAAATCAATATGAAATTTATGAGGCCACAAAAGTTTGGAGCCGACTCCAAGGTTTTTTGCCCAGGGCAAAGGTCAAGTGTGTGCAGCGGCAAATTAAAATTCAAATTCAAAATGAAATATTATACACTTGTCCTAAATACACAGCTGCTCCTACCTCCACCTCCACCTCCGCCTCCGCCTCCATCTCCAGCGCCTCTTTGAAACCGGCTCAAAGTCACGCGATTTAGTCAAGCTTTACCGCTTGCTTTTGTGGTACTTTTTTAAGTATTTTTAATTTAATTACTGTTGGGCTGCCAAGTAATTATATATATTTGAATATATATGTAAATACTACTTAATTTCAGGTACTTTGAGGTCACTGAAAGCCTGCCATTTCGTATTGATTGCACTGCCATGAATAGCAAAAAAACAGAAAATGGAGTACATTAATTGCGGTTGATATCCTGTTAACAGCGAATAATCATAATTAATGAAATGTCAAGTTAATAATTGCCCCGATAATTAATATTTGCTGCATGATATACGCAAAAAAACTTTAAGTGAAGGAGAACAAATTATTTAAAGCGAATTTTATGTGCTAATCATGAGCTTTTACAAGGTAAAGCTTAATCTTAATGGATCTGACCTCTCTCTCTCTCTCTCTCTCTTTCTCTCTCTCTCTCTCTCACACCCTCTATTATCTCTTTGTTCTCTGACTAATGCATTGACTTAATTGCCACCAAAATGAGTAGCCACTCTGCAAAGCCAGCATCTTTTCAATTGGATGCACTTTCATAACTCATGCACATATAGAAAGCATACACACACTCACAAGCACACACACACACACACACACACACACTTGTGTGACATCATTTCCATTCCCAGTTGTACATACGTATGTGGTTCTGCGAAATGAATGCGCCCCTCTGATTTTGGTGGCAGCGAATTTAGTTATTATAAGAGCATAATACACAAATATATCCTTCCTGCTGGCTGTCGCCACACGTTGTCCTTCGTGCTGCTCTCGACTCCTGTCATTGCTCTCTGCCCCTGCCCCTGGCATTGTCACTGCCCCTGCCTTGGTCTCCTGCAGTGCATTTGCATGTGGAGAGGTTGAAAGCAGAAAACAGACAGCGAGTAGTTTTGCTAACCATATCCAAAGCACCCAAGGAGTTTATTAAGATTCAGCAAAAAGAGTTTTATTGAATAAATTATAAAAATATGCTTGACGTAAAGCTCAAAGTTCTTTGCAAACTCTTGCCCCAAAAAGTATATATGACACTATTGCTTTAACACAATCACTTAAAATGGCCAATACTTTGCTTTTTGCCTTGACGATAGAACTGAAACTGATTTATACTGGGGAACAGTGTATATCGAAGTCGGGCATTCGCTGCACAATCCTTTGAACGTTCGTCTTCTTTTTGCCAGTCATTTTATTTGCGAATATGTATATTTTTCTCTTGCGATGGGTTGTCCTTATTGTTGTTGTCGTCGTTGTTGGCGCTTGCCAGTGGTTTTTGGCAGGAATTTAAGAGTGAGGGAAAGGAAGATCAAGTGAGAGATCCAAGGAGTGTACTTGGGTGTGTTTTCGTGTGTGTGTGTGTATGTTGCTGTGTTAGTGCGCATGTGTGTGTGTGTGTGTGTGTGTGCTTGTGACAGACATGCATAATTCAAAACGTGGCGGGAATAATTTTGTGTTTGCTCGTGTGGTGGCCACTTTTTATGCTGGTAATTCGACTACGGGGACGTGCGCCCATGTATGTGGTAATACATGTGTGCGTGTGTGCAAGCGTGTGTATTTCTGCGTGCTAAC